GCAAATGCTTCACAGCGAGCCACCGAGTTGTCCTCAACACAGGAGAACCAGCCTTTCCCGCAGTTCACAGACTACAGACTGACTGTTTCAAAATGCCCACCCTGCCAAGTGGCAGTTGGCTCCGCCCCTTTTTCCATGACAACCCAGCTCAGAGTGAGCTGAGCTGGCTACCATCCCCTCCCAGTTATGTTATTTTAGATACTTACCCCCTTTTAAACACCTATCTATAATTACACATGACTAAAAGTTAAAATTCACACTTCACCACAATAAGTTTTTGTTGGAGTTTTTTATTTTTTGGCTTTTTTAAGTGATGGTCACTCCTTAGGTTGGTAGGCATTTAGTGGCCAAATTTGGTGTTATTTTGGCCAGTGGTTTTTGAGTAATGTTAATCCCACAAACATACATTTTTATTTATATAGATTACAATTACAACTATAAAACAACTTTATCCACAATCATAGTCAAGCCATTCTCGTAGTCATGACACTTAATTCCAAGTCCATCTATTCCTTCCTCCCTCCCTTCCCTTCTCTCCCCTTCTCTCATTTCTCTTTCTCCAGCTATGAGAGGGCCTTGCAATGTCTCCATGGCAACATGGCTCCTTTTGTGACTTCCTGTTTCCTTCCTTCCTTGCTTTTCTTCATGTGCATGTCACATTTCTTTCCCAGTGACATCACAGAGGGCCACTTTGCCACTTTCCCAAGCAACAGCCAATCCAGAGACAAAGAGCCACTGCATTGTCACCTAGCAACAGCCTTCGTGGTACAGACAGACAGACACACATGGAGCAAAATATCCAGCCTTTTTATGCCTGTAAGCAAGAATATGAAAAACAGTAACATAACAGGACTGGATGTAACATACTTTAGCACTCAACTTATTAGGCCTGTGAAATCCCTTCAGATTTTGTGAGTGTGTGGGTTTTTTTTAAAAAAAATGCTTTTGTGTATTTACAATGGTGGCAATGCTGCCATGATCACAAATGTGAATAGCAAAATTCATTAAGTCCTAAGTCTAGCTTGTGAGATCATCCATATGGAGCTGGATGCTAGTCATTGTTTTCTACTCAGATTGACTTAAATAAACAAAAAAACTTTGTTTGCTATTTCCTCAGGTATATGAACAGGATGATTTAAGTGAACAGATGGCTAGTTTGGAGGGGCTAATGAAGCAACTTAATGCCATCACAGGCTCAGCCTTCTGATAGTTTTGGATGATGAATGGAAGAATGGAGTTACCCAGGAACATTGCAGCATACCAGCTTTTCAAACATACCACCACCCAAAGTCCTCATCTGCCGTGAAGCTAACCGATGCACCGCCAAACCCTGTTCTAAGGATGGATCTCACAGTGTTCATACAGATCAAGCAACAGCACTGAGGAGCACTGAGGAGCAAGAAACAAGATGTTGGGACACTAGCACACACCTCTTAGTAGTGGTGGTTTTGATCTTCTGGCCTTAGTAGCGCACCAGTGGTAGAGTGGAGGGAAGTCATAGTTTAGACCTGCTTCACATATTATCCTGTTGTTAGCATCTTATGGCTTTTAAGTGACCAATGCTTGCATTTCCCCACATGACACATACAATATTTTCTAAAATGAAATTCAAATTAAATTGTGGGATTATGTTTCCTTGTAGAAATTCCTAAGAACTGAACGTATTCCCCATGGAATGTCTATCTTTGGTTAGATTGTCATTAAGTGATATTGTCTCATTTTAAAATAACAACAACAACACTGGAGACTAAATGAAAACCCATAGGATTCTTCCACTTATTGTGAAGTCCATTACAAATTATGCCTGCATATCCACCAGACATGTCATGGTCCCGCCCTATGTCTGTCATCATGATGCTAGCCATCTTTTCCTTCTACCTGTCCTCTCATTCCCTCAAATTTACCTTTGTGAAAAAGATAGAGCCTTCAGCAGAATGTGCTTACAGAAATAGTAAAGGCTTCAGGGCTGGGGACTTGTGTGGGACATCGATTAATGGTGGAGAGCCTGAGTCAGTTCTTCTCGCCTTCATCATTAATAGATACTGCACATGAATGTTCAAATTCTCTAAAATTTGATTGATGCATCTATTGCAAGTCCTCTCTATCAGCCATTGTCATCCATTCAAAAAGGTAAGCTTGGGACAAGTGGAAAGATCAGGTGGCATTCTCCTCCCAATGTATCCTAAAAATCAGTTTTACAGTTCTTGTAGGAGAAGCGTTGGGTTTTCTTTAAAAGGTCTCCAAGGATGCTTTGAAAAATGTAAGCCAATCATGAGCTGACTTGGAGGAAATTTTCTTCATTAATTTCCCACTGGACATAAAAAAAAAACAAAGAAACAAGCCTACTGTTTATTCTTCAGGAACAACACTAGCGGAATTGCTAAGGAAGTTAAGTGGCTTTCTCTATGTTTTGTGTATCTATAACACCAGTTTTAATCATCAAATTTAATTGTGCTATGATTTAAATTGATCACAAGCAATAGTTTGACATTTTAAACAAGATCATTACCAAATTCTGTGGAACAAGAAACCAAGTAGGTCAATTTCCCAGTTCCAATGGGGTCATCATGAAAATATGTGAAGCAGGTGTTGGAGGCCATTCTTTCCTTCCTCAGAGGTTTGTTATGTAATGATGTAGACCATACAAGAGCATTACAACATGCATCTCAAGGCACTGTGAAATCATATGTAATGTGTAACTCCACTTCTTTGTTTTCCTTCGTATTTTCAGTGATAAACATCAGCACATAGCACCAAAGGGTTGGTATATTCTCAACAGCACAAAAAAATGAACGCAAATAACAGTAATGCTCTCTCTCTCTAGCTATCTATCACATAACATAAGTGACTGAGCAATTTTTGAGAGAAATGGACCACTGGTGCAAATCTCCTTGGAGTTACATATATGCTTCAAAAGGGTTATTAGTAGTGAATGTGCAAATTTGGCAGGCTGCTAGTATCTATATGCATCCGAAAACATATGTAATATACAGTACGGCCCCCTTACCTACAAGACCAGTACCCAAAATTTCACCTGCCCACATCTGACAAAATATGTGCTTTCTGGGAATGTTCTAGTTCCTCCAGGCAATACTATGGTAAGCTTCCACCAGAAGTTAATAGAGTCATCCTTGAGGACATTAGCAAATTCTAGGAATATTCAAGATCCTCAAGGGTGAGTCTATGGGAACTTCTAGTGAAAGTCATTCATTTTAATAGTATTATCCACAGTTTTGTTTCTATGGTAAATTCAGGAATGTATCTGTGGATATGGAGGTCGTACTGTAAAATTGTCTTATTCAAGTACAAAGAAGAGAGGCAAGCAATACAGATGTGCTACTGGAAAGGAATCCACCACTAATTTGCCTCTACTTCATCCTGATGCAAGACTGTTGAGTTTCATAGGTCTGCAAGACAGCTATTCAGTAGGACAACTTCTCCACTTTAAGGAAAGTAGGTCCTATTGTAAGACAGAACAGAAATGGAACTGTGAGATTACTTGTGCCAACAGATAAGTCCCTAGAATAGATTGTGAGAGTCATGCTATGTCCATTTTGCCTGTACTCTGGGGGATGTACACAGTACAAATGTTTACAGACAAGCTACCAGAAAGTTAGAGGACAAGAGGGAAATACAAGGTCTTTCTTTAACATTTTCATACTGCTTTCATCCAGTGGCTGAAAGCAAAACTAGCCCTAGTTACATCAGGATTCTGGTTAGGAACATAAATAATTCTTTTCTTCAAGCTCTCATTCCACTATTCTGGATTTTATTGCTGTGTTTTTACATTGACATTCAGAACTGGCGATATGAACAAAATGTTGCATGCTCACTTCTCATTGCTGTACTTTCTGCATTCATTCAGAGTTAATCCCTGTTTTCACAGGCAAACCACCAAAAAGCAACTAAATTTGCATATTTATCAGTTATGAGGCTGCAAAAACCCAATAAGAAGGTTTCAGCTGAATTATTACATTCAGCACTCTCTTTGATTTCAAGCTTGAGTAGGTCATAATTTTAAAAGAGCATGGAAGGGAGAGAGGATCTTTACATCCTAATAGCTCTTTTTATTAGGAAGGTAATTATATGTGAATTCCTGAATAAAATATCTGGAATAAAATGGCACAGCTTCAGAAGTAAAAATTCAGCAAGCTTTAAAAAATACAGTATCATATTGGGTAGGAGATTAGAGTTTGAACAGATGATCCACTCAAAATGCTAGTATATTTGTGAAAATACATCCCCACCCCTCGCCTCACGTTGTTTATTCAATTTAGTCTGGAATTTTAAGGCAACATTTTTAATAACTAGGCAGGCTTATTTAGGAGGTTGAGTTTTTAATGTTCTGACCAATTGGGGATGGCACTCAACTGCATCCAGTTGTATGGATGCTGCATAGCTCAATCTCTTCCTTAAATAAAAGCAAGAATGGCAAGATTACTTTCCCAACTTGGCAAGTACAAAAAAACCTCTTGAGTATTTTGAGTAGTATCATAACAATGGATTTTGCTGTTACGTTCCCTAGAAACATTTCTGAACCTGGATTTAAAAAGAAAATCTGTTCATGCAAAAACTGTACAAATGAAAGCATTTTCTATCTCTGTCTTCACTTTCTGCTATGCTAGTCTGGGAGCAGATGTTTCTACTCTTTCCAATGAGTATACAGGACCTCGTCATTTCTCCATACCTTTAGGGATATAATAAGCACTTTCACTTAGTTATTTTGTGACTTCCATAGAAACTATCTTATGGAGGTAGGTTTTTATGTGGTTTGTTTTTAAGTCTTCAAAATCTTTCTTTTCTTTAGTTGTGAGGAAGATGGTTTGTTTAACTTAATACAGCTTACTTTTCTGTTGATTCAGCAGTCAAACTATTTTCTTATGACAAAACAGTGCATTTAAAATAAATACCATGTTCTCAGCTTCTGACATCAAAGACCATTGCATATTCTGCATGGGAAAGAAATGCTAACCATGGATTAATCATAGAGAAAACACTTAATTACACTGATACTGATAATGGACAATGGATCTAAAACAGGCATGGCCAAGCTTCTGTCCTCCAGGTGTTTTGGACTTCAATTCCCACAATTCCTAACAGCCTGTAAGCTGCCTGGGATTTCTGGGAGTTGAAGTCCAAAAAACCTGATCTAAAGTAATGTCTATTTCTACAGCCTTCCACAGAAATGTTTGGTTCGAATCCACTGCAATTCAGTCCATCTTATATCAGGAAACTGTCATTCAGCAGAAAGAACTTGTTTAGCATTCAAACTGATAATGGTCTTTAATATTGTAGAAGATCAAGGTCATTGCCTAATGTATGGGAGATGCCACCCAATTTTATTCCAGCAGAATCAGATATAGACTCTCAAAACCCTCCACACTACCATTGAACCATACATTGTCTAAGAAAATTCTATAGAAAGTATCAGAGGCCAAAGAAGAAGACTCTGTCTCTTCAATGTTTAGGGATGTCAGGACCTGGAAGGATAGACTTTCATTTTTTCTTGCCAAGGTAGCCTGATTCTTTACTATTCAAAAATAGAATTTTATGTTTTCACGTAAAATTGAATGCCACCTCTATGAAGGGTAGATGTATTTTATTGTTATTGAGATTAGGCTATTCCATTGAATTTTACATTATTTTGGTGCAAAATACCTATCTTAACCTGCTTATAAACACTCAAGCCATTGGATCTAATTTTATACATATGTACCAAAAATCAATTCATTCCTATTAATCAACTGTCCAGAAGAAAGAGAATGGGCTTCAATTCATTCTCAATACTTGTAATTTCAACACTTGTTGAAATTGAAGGTAGTCTCTCTCACATATATTCTTCCTCAATGAATTTTTATGATTTCCTCCTATTTTTCAGGTGCTTCTATTTAACATCATTGGTTTCTGTGCTTTACTCTTAGAGGAAAGCTTCTAAAATTAAACCATATTATTTGAGGTGTCTGTGCAACTGAGTTTCCATAAAGGGTGTAAAAGGAATAGGTGTTTCTCCATTGTAAGAACTTTTCAAGTTTTTGCATATATTGATTACTGACTTCTTGTTATGGATTTCACATTTCTCTCCATTCTTGACATTTTTACTGCTCTTGATGAATACTTTAGAATATATAAAGAATTCAATTAATTGAGCTTATTCTAGATAGGCTTCACAATTGTGCCTTGCCCCCTTCCTCAGACAGAGCATCATCAATCATAGATTTTGCAACCCATTTTATCTGTCCTTGATAAAATACTACACTGATATTCATCATAATCATGATTCCTACCATCTTCTTGACTATGTCCATCTTCAAAAGAGGACAAGGTCAAGTGCTGAAGATTCTGTTCCCAGATATGATATTGTTCATCTAGTCTTATGTGAGCCCTTTAATTTCACATTTCTGACATACTCCAAGTATATCTTCAAAATTTACAAGAGAACAGACTGTATGCTCTCACAAAGCTTAACCTGCCCTAAGAATGTCTTCTACATCTTCTCCCCCCTGGCAGACCATCCAGTATTATCACAGTAAGATATTTCCCCAAAATGAACAGTTGGACAAATCTGTACATTTTGCTGTTTCCCTCATTGAGGCTTTAAAAAAATCCCAAATTCTATTTATAAAGGAAGCTAACTTGGAAGAAGTTATTCTAAGAAGTTAACTGAATCAACTTTTTAGCCGAATTCAGAACATCTGCTCCAAGCCTGTGAAAGACTTCCTTGTTTCTGCCTGTTATGTATCTAATAAAGATGAGGCATTCCCCAGGAGGAAAATAAGAGTTGGCAACCCTAAATCAGTACTTCAACCATAAAATCATAGAACTGGGAGAGACCAAAAAGGCCACCCAATCCAACTGCATTCTACAAGGCAGGAACACACCATCAAAGCACTCCAAACTGAAGGGCATCCGGTCTTTCTTTAAAAATCTCCAGAGAAGGAGACTTCACCACACTCCCAAGCAGCATATTCTGCTATAGAACTGCTCTTGCTATCAGGAAGTTTTTTTCCAAATATTTATATGGGATATTTTTCCCTTTAGTCTAATCCATTGCTGCATACAACATCTTCAAGCCTCTACATTCCAGGGCATATGCTCTTCAAGCCTATGGTAATGATTTGCAACCCCTTTACTTTAATATAGATTTTTGAGTAGCAGATATATTTGTGAACAAAGCCAGTTTGCATTCAGAGCTTTGTTTATATTTACCATTTCTGCTGATATGCAGAGGTAAAGTGGCATTTTGATCTGACATTACCTTTCTGTGTAAGCTGCCATTCCACGTACCACTTCTCTTGGAAATGTAAAAAAGTTCTGTGGGGTGCTTGATGTATCCTCTATATCCAAGGGCTTTGACTTTCCGTCTTCTTCATCTGCAGACTCCCCAAGGGATATAGTTTGTGTCTTATGTTTCCTTTTTCAAGGATAAATGTATTCCTTCCCAAATAACCCACTGACTTATTTGCTTTCCCTAGTTGATCCCAACACTCCTAATAGTCTTAAGGACATTCTGCCACATGCAAGATAAGATCAGCTTTTCTCCACTTCTACATAAGCCTTGTCTTCAATTTTAACCAGGTTTTCTGCTGCTTACTCAAATATATATTCAGTAAGTCATCTTGTAGGATCTGTCTTGGAATTTCATATGCGTTAGATTATAGCTTGTCACACAGTGGAGCTACACAAAAGAAAAAAAAAGTGGGGTAAACCTGAAACTAGTTTTTTTCAGCGTGGTTATTTGTGCAGTCATACAACCCATTTCTTGCCCTGGTGCTGTTACTGCTTAACTATATTAGCTTCTATCATAGATGAGAAGAAGGAAGTAAACAGTTGAGTCCATCCTCTATTGTCCAGGACATGTGCTCATATGGCCAGAGCCAGATCACACCAACGTGTGTGCCAGGAAAGTTCCAGAGATGATCTGCATGGGTGATTGATCCACTTAAACAAATCACAATTGCTTTTCAAAAACAACCCTTATCAGCTATAAATGAACAATTTGCCTGTGTCTGATAATAGAGAATGAATGGAAAGCCTGTGGGTATTCATTCAGTGTATGATCCCCATGATAATGTTATATGATGTTAAAAGATACCTTGTTCCTACTGAAAATATTCTCATCCTTACTGTAAAGTAAAAAGGAGTGTCATAATTACTGAAAGTAGCCATATAGAAATAGCACTGAATCAATGAGGGAAACTGAAAACCATGTTCTGTGTTGTCTTGGAAATATTCTTTTGAGGCTATGTAATGGTGAGGGTCTACTTTATTGAATATAATAAATGCTTTGCATTTTAATATATGAATAGGAAAGCAAATATACCCCACCAGACAAGAACCTGGTGTCTGACAGAAAAATCACAAGTTTGCACTGTTTTGAAGAGCCATGTGACTTACCAATTATAGTTTTCATGGCCCCTCTTCATGCATACTTGCATATTTTTTTGGAAATTTAAAAAGCATACATTTCCAACAGGTCCTACTCCTGTCTTTAATTGTGGTTTTAAGATGTTGTTAAGGAAAATTGGTCTTTGATAGCCACTCCCTCCTAGCTGATTCTGTGACAGACTAGTTCAAACAGAATGCCATAATCTGAGACTATGTAATTTTTGGTTAGCTATCTTAGCATTGTTCTCATGTTTCCCCAATCATCTCTCCTCTCATTTCCTCGTCTTTCCCCTTCCTCCTCCTTTTTTATTTTTCTTCTTGCCCTCTCTTTGAGACCAGTAATAACAGCATGGTATATATATACATATATACCATAAAGCCATTGAGGCCAATGGTATCTCACTGTTATGCTGTACATGTCTTTTGATGAAGAATGAGGAAGTGATGCTGGTAGATAGAAGGAACAATGCTGTTTTTATTATTGTAAAATAGATCTGGCAATGCCTACCTTTGTGAATTGCCATCATGTTTGGGTGAGGGAGGGTAGGGCAGGGAGGGAAGGGGGTACTTTTTATAAGTAATATTTAATTTATTATTTAGAGTGCTTTCCTTGGGATAATTTATGATTAGGGGGAAGGGATATCTGGTTGAGACCTAGAGCAGGATGTTAAAGCTGTGGTGTAGCTCATGTTATGTATGTATGTATGTTGATTTTTGGATCAACAATTTCCTCTTCTCATACCAATCTCAGTCACGTTGAAGCAATGCTATCCACACAGATTTTACCTGAAACTGAAAATAACAAATACACATAATCCCACCAAATATTTCATTAATTGGTATGGAATATATTTGCAGGTGCTTCTGTCAAACTTTTAAAAGTTTTGATATCTGTTCATTCCAGTGTAATAACTTACATGTTTCATTAATATGTTGACATCAGTGTGATTTTGAAAATAAATTGTCCCACAGTAAAATAAAATTTTTCCACAAGGAAATACCAAAAGTAGGGACCATTGAATATTGGTTTTTGATTGTTCTCAGCCTCCTAGCCACAAGCACATATTAAATCTTATGTATGCATCTGTACGTGATTTTTTAAAAAGTCCACTCAAACTGGAGACATATTGTCTGGAACACCTTATAATTATGAAGGTTAATTGTGAGCTTTTGATGTCTTGGTTTGGGCCATAATAACCTAGAGAATTTTTTTACAGTATTTATATTCTGCCCTTCTCATCCCGTAGGGGACTCAGGGTGGATTACAATGTAATATACATGGCAAACATTCAATGCCATAGACACACAACGTACATAGACAGACACACAGAGGCTGTTTAACTTTCCAGCTTTCATGAGGGTAATCTGGCCACCAGGGGAGCTGTCGTTTCACCATCCATTTGAGACACTGAAGGAGTACTTCCTTATTGCTTGCTTGCTTGCTTGCTTGCTTGCTGGAGATTTTATGGTGTCGTAAATTCGTTAAATTAGCCTCCCCGCATAAGTGGTACCTAAATTTCCTATTTGACAGATGCAACTGTCTTTCAGGCTGCAAAGGTTGACAGCAAGCTACACACAATGGTTGGAAGCTAACTCTGACACACACAGGCTTCAAACACATGACCTTTTGGTCAGCAGTGATCTTAATGCAGCTGTCTTCCAGCCAACTCCAAATGGAGTCCCCTTAGTTAAATGTTGGGTTCATGAAAAAACTGGCGAAAGGAAAAGGCTTCTGAATGCCACCCATTTACACCATTCTGTTCACAATAATGTGTAGTGTTTACAGTAAACGCTGCAGAAGATGCTTCAGCTGCATTTCATAAAAAGGGAAATCACCCTGTTTAGCAAGCCTTGCAAATGCTGATTTGTTATCAGGAAATGTTTGGTTTTTATACATATTTTTATACTTATATAACTGGAGTCTCATAAAATTTTCTCAGGTAGAAAGAGGTAATGAGTGGGAAAAGTTCAAGAAGCTCTGCTCTAAATCACTGAGCAGGATTCACTGGGATGTTGTACTAAGTCAAACAGGATTTTCATGGACTTCTGTGCAATCCCCATTTAATTTATTCTAGCTTTTTCAGGATAACCTTTCAGTGGACAGAATCTCACAATCCCCTCAATCAATAAAAGCAGTAGAAATAATTGGTATATAATATATTAAACATTATCCCTTCTCAGTTTTTGATGAAATTGTGTATAGATACATCATGGAAGCATTTTGATGGACTGTGTCCTTGTGTGACTTCTAAGAGATCCCCCATGGAGTAACACTCAAGTTATTCTATGATTATGAAGAGAGGATCCATACGTGTCAATATCTCTATATTGGGAGGCATTTATTCAAGAGGAGTTACATCACAGCTTTAACTAGCCTTAGGAGAAAAAAATCTTGTTCTGACAAAAAGCCTAAAGTTAGGCATTTTGAGCCTACAAAGGTTTTCTTTGAATTGTTGGACTCTAGCATTGTTAACCAAACTAGATTAGTGACTGCAATATTTAAGTGTAAATTTCATTCTGCCAGAAAGGGAACTTGATTAGGGTTTGAAAATAAATGACTGTTTCTACACAACCTTGTATACTACGACTACATGAAGAAAATGGGGAGGGTTTTGTAATGTACTGTAGAACAGTCTCATATTCATTTTTTATAGAAATGGTATTCCAATGGTGCATTTTCTTTTGTTTAATAAATAAAGTTTTGATACAAAAAGTTGTCTGTGTTRATCACATGCCTCAAATGTCACAGAGATGAGCCARRATATGAAATCAATATATTTACTTCCRATCATACAGAYTTTAGTAAWTCATATAAAARCCATGCWTTTGCTYAGATCTTTGTGTCTTAAAATACAGRGGGTGGCTATGTACCTAAGGGKWTTTTTAGTARTGGTRCTTAGGCTGAAGAAATTTTTCCTCCCCAAAATGGTATACAGAGAARCAAAGACACAGATATGCAAATATACATACATARAGCCAGGATAAYTTCCYACTTTGTTAGYCTTCTGGATGTCATAATGAGAGAACTTAATKGGCTTCTACAACATGGGTGCCACCYSAGAAAAGGATCCATRTGTGYTACTGTGTTTGGARCTCAAAGAACCATYCTCCAGAAGAACTTCTGTAAAKGTTGGACCTCCTTGCTCTTTTCATAAATACTTGCTTTTCTTCCAGACAGGAGATCAAGGAATTGGAAAAAAATTATAACTCAATGGCATAACACATTTCACATTCAATTAGACCTAGGTTAAGTCTTTGGCATCRTTACRCAAAAAGCCATGCMTAAAGTGATGAGAAGAAYGTCTGACTTAATCTCTTGGAAGRTGTTGCCAGTCATAGTAGACACATTRTCTGACAAATATCTGGRCTGCTTTCTGTGTTCTCTAGAAATTGCCTGAGAACSTCTTTGGGAGAATAACAAAGGCTTTGGACCAGTGATCCCAARKCTGTAATTTAAGTAGTAAGTATAATTCAAATCACATCCATTTCACCCTATTAGGTCATGCTCATTTTACATAATTCCTGCTTAAATGCCTTGGTGTGCAAAAATATTTTAAAAGTGTTTCCATTAGGGACATCTTTAGCTATTGGGACATATAATGCAGGTCCTTCAAATTTTCCTAAAAAGTCTGGTGGAGAGAAATGCTGACTGCTACATCTGAGCAAAATCTATGGTTAATATGACATCTTTCCAATTCTGTGGGGAGTCCTTTTCACTTTTGCAGGGTTAAGATGGCATCCATTAGATGCTTTGGAGAACCCTATGCATTATAAGCATGTAAGAAAATGAATCATAGCAAAAGTCTATCTAATGCAACATCCGGCTTCCCACAGTAGGCAAATATGATGCCTACTGTGGGGAGGATGATTCATAAAGGCCATGGTCTTTTCCTGCAATTGTTCTCAAATAAGTGTAAAGAGGCATGCTTCCTTTACCATGAAGGTAGTATATAGCCAAAATCACTATTCATGGTTTATACTCTAAAGATGACTAGGAGAAGTGACATATTGAATCAGTTTCCTGTTGTTTCTTCTGAGGTCCTTAAGCTAGCTTCCTGCCATTAAGTCCCATGGAGGATGACATACCATTGCATCTGCTGAAAAATGTTTTGCATACCTTTCTGGTTTCTCTAAAATAGAATAAGATCTCTGTGTGCATCATGTTGCCCTGTATTTCAACCAACAAAATTTTTGCCACCTTTTCCAGCTCCCATTCTGAGACTAAGTTAGGGCGGCCGTACATTTCCTTGCACAAAATGACCCCTCAACTTTCCACAGACATATCCTTTGAGGAGCCAAATACTTCAACACCAGAGTTCAATCAATCATTGGCAAATACTCTTGTTCTGAATTTTTGCAAGTAGAATTTTTGTATTTATGGCAAATATTGATCACAGTATCACAAATGGAGAACCTAGTGAGGTGTTCTCTCAGGTATTTGTATTTCATCAACATTTTGTTTCTTTGTTTAAAAAACACATGATAGATTTGTTTTCTATTTCATTCCTTTGAGGAACTTAATCTGATCTTAATCTATACTGTTAATGGATTTAGTACCTGTGTACCTTGCTATCTATTCTTTTGCTATTTTCATACTGCTTTTGTAGCAGCAAAGTCTTTCATTCAGAAAAAAAGCCACCTGTTGATAGGAGCTTCTGACAGCTGGATGCTTAATCTCTCCTCTTTCTATTTGGCAAGTTGCTTCAGCATGCATTATGGTGTTTCTTTCCTCTAATTCCTCAGAAGATGCATTTTGAAACTGCTCTGAAGAGAGAGAAAGTGCGCACACTCATAATTACAGTTCTAAGTGTTTGGTTAGTATCAAAAGTACCCAAGAAGTATAAGAAATATAGGAGAAAGGAAATCCAATATTCTTTTTTTGCTTTAGCTATTATTCTTATTCTTGGGTAGAATTAGAGAATCATAGAATCATTGAGTTGGAAGAGACCTCGTGGCCCGTCCTGTCCAACACTTGCCAAGAAGCAGGAAAATCACATTCAAGGCACCCCTAACAGATAGCCACTATTGGGGTACTTCTGATACTACTCAAATGCTTCCCAATAATCTCATGAGGAAACAATATTTTGTGAAAGATAAAGTATTACTTTGAGCAGGGAAGCTTGAGACTGTCACTGTTTTGCTCTACTCTTGTTTTTGAAACAAATGGAAATATACCAATGTAGGAACAAACACTTACAAATCCCAATAAAATGTTTCTTGGTGTCTTGGTTTTTAGATCTATTCACAGGGTTATCTAAGGCACTAATTCAGATAATTGCATCATCTGTAGTTTCTTAGATATTGTTATTGTGATTTTCTATGGATGAGCAGCTTAGCAACTGGTAGATGGCATGTGTTCTGTATCTCAAAAAACTCAAGCTGACTAGGGAAAACTGGTGCCATTTTTGGAATTAGCAAGTCAAATATACCCAGAAACAGGGCTAACATTTAAAGCACCAAAATGTGTGGCCAGTGATATCACACTTCTCTGCAATCACACAATAGTGCTGTTTTAGTTATAGGCGAACCCACAATCACAATCACACCACTACACTAATCCCACCTTCCTACCCATCTATGCCCTACACAGTGCATGCATACCTTTCAAATTTTTTAAATTTTATTTTTGATATGATTTCAGAAAATTACAAAATAACTATTTGCAAAAAGAAAAGAAAAGTGCACCAAAATCAACTTACTCTGCTTGGGAATAACTAGAGAGAGCAAAGGAGAATCATGCTCAATTCCACAACAAGACTGCTGGAATTCAAGAAACAAAGGTTTGGAAACCAAGAGTTGGGCAAGAAAAGTTTAAGAGGTGACATAACAGCATTCTAAAATATTTGAAAGGATGTCATATTGAAGATGGATTTGTTTTCTGCTACTCATGAGACTCATACATGGAGCAATGGGGTCAAACTGCAGAAAAAGAGATTTCAGCAAAACATTAGGGAAAAAATCTTAGTTCTTCAACAGTGGAGTAGACTGCCTTGAAGTATGGTGGGGTCTCCTTCTCTGGAAGCTTTTAAGCAGAAAGCCGATGGCCACCCCTGGGGAGTACTTTGTGTGTTCCTACACAGCAGGAGGCTGGACTGGATGGCCCTTGATGGTCTCTTCTGACTCCATGGTTCTATTATTCTAAGCAAAGTCTTCTGGAGTATTATTCCCTCTCTTCTAACATACAGGTAAGAGATCAAAATTATCTCTGGATGATGAGCTGAACGCAAACCTAACAGATTCTAAACCCATTCTTTCTCCCGCTGCGCTTCTGAGTCCTTGAAAAATTCTCTATGGGGTTGTCAAAAGGAATTAATGGGTGCCTATTCCATTATATTACATTTAAACACACAGAAATATGACTGTGGGGTAAACCAACCTGTGATGTATGGTATGTGTTGGGATTTTCATTTTGAATTGAAAATGGGGGGACTCCAATAAATTTATCATGCTTCAGTATATTATCGGACAAGTGGGAATATTTTATTTCATACACAAAGAGATTCCATCCTCCCTCTGGCCTATAAATTTAATTCCCTTTGCGTTGTTCAGGTAACAAAATAACACTAGGCCTCATAATAAATCAGTAGGGACTTTGTAAAGGGGAGAAAATGTTACAAGGTATTTTTGCTTTATAAAGTCAATCTGACAGCTTAAGCAAGATGTATTACACAAAGCACTGACCTTTGTCTAATGCGTTGCCACCGTGAGATTTTTAACTAGATTCATATTACACACATTCATACAAAAAGGTCCAAATATTTCATGTATAAGTCAATATTTTGTACTTCAGCTATATATTAATGTAACCAAGAGGAAATAAAATCCAAAATTGTCATCATTTCAGTATTGGTTGATTATCCCTCAATGAAATGCTTGAGAACAGAAATATTTTGGATTTTAGATTTTGGGGGGCTTTGAAATACCTGTACTTGCATCTGCATACACAATGTGATATCTTGGAGATGGGATCCAGGTACAGACAAAACATTCATTGATGTTTCATATACACATAGCTTGAAGATAATTTCATACAACATTTTTAAAGTTAAAAACATTAAAGCATTAAAATAAACCATATTTTTATTAACAATATATAAATTATAAACATGCCACCACTGCCAATTGTGCTAAAAACCTTAAAGCCACACAAAGGATGTGGTGGGAAAGGGGGTTCTCTAGGCATAAAATGATTTGGTGAAAATACATTGTAGCTGAGGTTTACCAGTATTTCAATATCTTGCTTCCATCTACTGATACTTCTGAATTCACATGGGCTTCTTCTGTTTGAATGTACAAACTTCTCAAGGTCATTTTTCTTTTTAGAACATGGATGGTATAATATTGAAATGTCTTTGCTTCAAAAACATCTTTCATTGCCTTGAAAATGATTATCTTTGTAATCTGGACACAACTGGAATGGTTTGGTTGATGCATGACTGATAAATGGTTATAGATCTGAACGTTGCTCAAGGACAGAACGCTGAGCATTCAATTGACTATACATCCCTTTCTGTGCAAAAGTGTTCATTAATGTGCATGGAAAATAATGACTTAGACATTTAGCTGACATATTTTGGAGGCAGGAGTATCACAACTGAAGCATGAAGAATTAGCGCTGAATTGTCTTTCATTAATTTGAGATGTGCATTTTGGTAGAAATGCTTCTATCTACAAGTCTTGCTCTGTTGATAATAACTGTCAAAGTCAGCCCAA